TAGATTAATATGTATCAAAAATTTCAATTTTTTAAAAAATGTCTCAGAACCCCATTTTCCTAGCAAACTTCCCATATTACCTATAAAAATTTTTACAATTTCGTGCTAGGAGGTATTAAAGTTTTTAATGCTTTATTTACTTCCTCTAAAATTGCATCAAATCCTTGTTAAATGAGCCTGATCGGGATAATACGCTGTTTTCTTCTATAAGATGACGTTATTTTTGTACATAATTTGCAATTTCTATTAAATGATAAATAATTTTATCCCGGTTACCCGATGTGTGTGAACACTCTTACATGCTGGATACTTGGCTTCAGAGTCAGTATATTCGAAGTCTTATTGATTTAGTTTATGACAAGAGGAAAGAGCATAAGTAATTTATATCTTGGCAAATATGTTCAGCATATATTATTTATAGCATTTTTCCAGTGCAAAATTATTGTACGTTAAAATGAAGCTCAAACTATGAATTGTGGTGCAGCTCTACATAACCTTACTATAAAGGTGAATATCTAGACAATACAATGTTCAATAGCGAACCTAGCATGAAACAAATCGATAGGAATAGGGTTAGGAAGAGGCGGAATCACAAAATTAGCTGGTACCTCATGATAAAGACAATTCAGTTGAATGTAGATAACATTTTGTCCAAGTTGTGGGTTGATTAGATTTCCCTGACGATCAACCGTTCCAAATTCGTACTAAATAAAGGAATACCTTTAATTTGTTTTCAATTCTATGCTAAAAGTATAGAATAATAAAACATACCATCGTGGGGTTTAATGCGCCAGCAGCTGTTCGAACATTTGTGCAATAATGCCAAGCCTATTAAGAATAAAACTATTCAGTGCCAAAGTTGAGTGGGAATCAAATCATCTTGTCATTACTTACAGTCATGCATGATGGTGCTGTGGCTGAATCAATAGGTTTCAATTTAATAACAATAGCGTCATGAGCTCGACCAGTTGCTAGCCAATAATTTTCTACTTTGTTTTTGATATTTGCTTCAGTTTCTGAATACGCAACCTCCACTACTAAATTCGGCCAGGGCTGATTCTGAAAATATAGTAATTGTTAGTACCATAAATTTAAAATGTAAATAAACAAGTTAAACTAATTCATACACTTCCATCAGATCCACCATTATTGACTTGAGGTTTTACTACTGGTATATAAGAGGCATCTGCTTCTTTACCTGATCCTCGCGATTTTGTTGCTTTTAGTCAAAGGTTGTTAGATGGTAATGGAAAATATCATAAATTTTAAAAAAGCCAAATACTAACACATTGATCCGGAAGAAAGAATGCCAAGGTTAGTACTCTTCACACTACGAGTGGCATTTCAACATATTCTTCCCAAAAAACGTCGGTAGCAAGCTCATAGGGAAAACTTTATAAAAAATAACAGAAATTAGCTCATAAAATAGTAAATTGTCGAACAAATAGAAAATGAGATTTATTTAACCTTGCTTCTTCCCATTTGGCCTTCGGGTGATAATTACCGGTTTTCCACCAGTAATTGCGATATTTTTTCAACTTATCTATCTCCGCATCAGTACACAGCCCCTGGGTATTTTGAGAGGTGGCGGCAGTATTTTGCGAGTCTGTCATGTTCCATGAAATAAAAGAATCCGTCATTTCCGTTACGTCACCTCTCCTATATTTATTTTATTTAAAAATTTTATAACATAATCTAACTAATAACTAAAAGGTCGTTCTTCTAATCCTTTTTTATATAAAAAGTTTTTTAAGTTTAAATCTGTTGCTTTTTTTGAGTTATAGTGCTCAGCGACTTACATTGCAAAGATTTTCAAAGTATTTATTCATGAAAATTTGATAATACTATGACAGCGAGCAGTAACGAATTTAAAGTAATCAACGAAATTCAAAACCTAATAAACGAATAAAAGCCTTCTCAAACTTCATATAAAAGAATAGACGAACATTTTTCAGAAACGCGAAAGATTATTTTTTATTAAATATTTTTATGGTTTTTTTTAATTCGTGAATCACGTGATTAGCTATGATAAAATCGCATTGTTGTTCAATTACCCGAAATTAATCAAGGAATATATTATAAAGGTTACGATAAAACCTTCCGAAATTATACTCCATCAATACGTTCGCTCAAGATCCTTGAAAAATAATGTAAATTTTAAACTTGAAAATAATTGTCCCAACAGAATTCAATTTTGATGGGAAGAACTATCCATTTGTGATGCTTCAACTTGCTTGTTGACTCGTTTCTTCTTAGCAGATTCTTTTAATTTTTCCCATCGATCTTTATATTTTACAATAAGTTCATTCTAAGAGAGTTCGAATTCGAATAATGATATATGATTAATTTTGATTAAAATTTTTAACAAAATTTAAAGAATAAAACTTTACCTGTTTATCTCTTTCAGATTTCAATACCCGATTTTCTTCTTCCAACTCTTTTATACGTTTTTGAAGATGAGCATTACCAACTATAACATGTTACATTAAAAAAATTTTTTTGATTAAATTTTCCAAATGTAATGAATGAGAATGCTCACTTTATTTTTGATTTTATTTTATTTACCAGTAGAACTTTCAGGAGATGTTTGCTTTACTTTTATTCGCTTTGCCTAAGATAAAAAAAATTATAATGAAATAAACTAATGAACCAAATCAAGTTTTTTTTTTTTTATAATAAACACACCTGTTTCTGAACGTCATTTTTAAATTGTAAAATACTACTTTTCAACATATTATTCTCTTCCGCAGCCTAAACAGATTGAAATCCATTAAATTATGAAATAATGAGGTTATTAGTGTAATACATCATTACTACCTACCTTTTCGTAACTTAACATTCTCTTTGAAAGCTTATCTATTATAGTCTTGAGTTGCTTATTCTCAATAGAATACTCCTCTAAAGTCTTTGTTGAGTCTTTACTTTCAGATGGAATAGGAGTCGATGGGGATGATGATGATGAAGTTTGTGGAGGCTTTCCGGTTCGTGAATTAGGCCTCTGGTCCTTGGGTATAATATAAAATGATTCCATCATTGCTGCGCTTAATTCTTCAACTTTAGAATCATCCACTATATTATCTACATTTTAGTAAATTGAGCATGTCATTTAAATATCTAACTCGAAACTAAAAAATTGTAATTCACCAATATTTTCGTTTACGGTATTATATCGAATTGGTAAAGAAGGTTGTATGGTATTCTGATCAAGTGATGCTCGAGAATAAGCACCATTAAGAGGTACTGTAGCGAAGGCAACAGGATTAGAAATTTTTTGAACCAACCCTTCAACAATATCCCAGAATTTGTTAAATGGATCCGCTTCGTCGTCCTATTCGAGAATAAAATATTGAAATAAGAATAATATATAAATTTAAAAAAAATTTTTTTTTTTATGAACCTACATCTGTTGATTCATTATTTCCTTTTAACATCATATATGATTCTTCTATCTTTTCCGAACTTGAAGAACCTTCCATCATACTTGGTGTCATCGATGACATTGTACTAGTTCTTGAAATTCCTGTAGATGTAACGGCTAGGAATTAAATAGGATAAATTATTAGTTATTGATTATCATATCTAATTAAAGAATGAGATTAATTTAAGGTGGGAACCTCACAGTCAGACAATACTGGATTAAGTTTTGAACTAGTTGAATCGTTTGAAAATTTTAAAGGAGCATTAGTTTTTAAAAAATCGGATGATAACCTATCATCTGAACTGGAGTTTATCTGACGAGCACCCGAGTTAGCAGCTGGCTGAGTAGATAGCGTTGAATTTTGTCTAGATTGATTTTGTTGTATCCGTTGTTCAGAGTTATTTTTCACCTGTGGATTATTAACATTGGACTTTGAACTAGTGGATGAAGATGGCCTCCTAGTACGATTTGATGATGATGGACTTAATTTTTCTTGTGGTGGTGCTTGTTTTGCTAATCGACGCTGTACTTCCTTCCCTTGCCGAGTTTGATCTGTGTATTGAATTTTTAACGATCGAATCGCCTAAAGATAAATAAGAAATAAGAAAATCTACGTAAAGATAAATCGAATCGAATTGAATCGATATTACATTACCTCTGGTTCAGACGTATAATTTATCGCCAAGGCAAATTGCTCTAAAATGAAAAATAAATACACAAAATTTTTTTAAAAATACTTTACAATATTTGAATAAATGTTTCAATAACATACCAGCGGCACGGAAATGAGCCTGCATCGCTTGTCCCCACTGTTCCTTTTCTTTTAATTCTTCTGCTGCATTTGCGAAAGCATGTGCCTTACGAGTATAAATAGGCAAATATATTTAAAACCAGCTTTCTTCATATTGTAGTTACAAGTTTTAAGTACAAACCGCATTAACCGGTGAGTCTTCCATATTTTATTTTATTTTTTTAGGTTTAACACTGAAAAAAATTGATCCTAGAAATATATAGACAGTTCGAGAATTTGATTCAGCATAAAAATCCATACATCACATGACAATGAAATAACTGATTTGTTGTGTAACAAACAATGAAGTGACTTCAAAATTTAAGAATCGATTAAAAAAAGCGGGAAAGTTTCACGAAATCATTTCTTTGAACAAATTATGGAACGAATGTGTTCAAACAAATTCATTTATAGGTTATCTAAGAGCAACAATTTCAAAAGTTCTTCAGAAATCAAAAGTCATGACTTTGAAGAATATGGGTAGAAGAAAGAGTTAATGTTTAATTCTAATTTACTTCATTAACTATTTTTTACTTTTCGGCAGTTCACCCTCCTTTATTGCAAATCACCCATACGTTGTTTTCTCAATTTAACACGAAAGAACCAATAAAGAGATTTTTTTTAAAAAAAAAAATATTTTTTTCTCTACATATAACGTTATTGTATTTTTGTCAGAAAAGAAAGAGCCATTAATCATGGGAATATGTTAATATGTCCAGTTGAGTAGAATATGTTAATTGAATAAATAAAAAATTGAATTCAAATTATTCAAATTATAATTCTTCGTAAAATTATTACATGATAAAAAAGAATAATATAGCTATATTAATAGAAAGTTTCTACATTTGTAATAAGATTAAAAAACTTCCAATTCTCATTCCGACTCATTAAATTTTTATAGTCCGAACTTTTTTCAAATAAATATCTATTTAATTAACTAAAGTACAATTCAAATATTATTATAAATATATATATATATATATATTTGACTAATATTAAACCTTCTCAAGATTAAAATAAGCTAACCAAATCATTGGCTATTCCATTATTTTGGTGATTAGTCGATGAAGATTGAGGAGGTGTAGATGGATTATTATTACTTATACTGCTATTATCAAATAAGTCCAATAAATCATCTACGTTAGCAGTAGCATTAGTTGATTTAGATGAAGTAGCAGGAGGAGGAGGCGGCGTATTAGAATTTGGTGTGGAATTATCGTTAAAATCAAGATCCAATAAGTTCTCGATATTAGTTTTAACTTGAGCTTGAATTGGTGATTCTCGAGAGGCTTCCTCTTGCTCCCTATAATTTAACAAACAAATAAATACATCTATATAGATTGACAAAAACATATCTAATGATGTAAAAATAATCGTACTCGATAGCTCGTCGTTGTACGGCATCTGCTCCAAATCTTCCTCTTCCAAGAAATGTTTCGGGAGGTTTATGATAAACACTAGCAAGAGATGAAATATTACTAATAAGTTCTTCCAAAAGTGGACCGTTCAAAGTATTACCCTCTATGGATATTACTGGTTTATCTGACAACACAACAGCCTGTATAGAGAAAGAAATAATTAAAAAATAATATGCGAATCAAAGAGTGAAAATAATGACAGATTTACCTTAGCAGCCTGGGGATCTGTTGACAGTAACCTCCAATAAACATATGCCCGATCTCGAATATCTGGATTATCGCATTCTGAAGTGGCAATTTGCAGCACCCGCTGAACAACATTTTGTGTTACCTGCGGCTTTTTAAGGAACAATTTAACAGTCGCAGTAACTAATTGCAATTGAACCTGACCAAAAAAATTGAATAAAAAAAGAAATAAATAATCCTGTTAACATAAATAAATATTAATGAAACAATCTTTTGTTCACGCATTATTATGTCATTTAAATTTTATAATTAGAATTCCTCTATTTGTTAAAGATTATTACCTGGGAATTTTCATCTCTAAACGTATCCAAAAATGTAACGATTAATTCGTCTGCATTTTCAATCCTCTCGGCATATTCTCCTATGATCCAAATAAGTGACGCTTTGGCTTCTGGTTCATCCAAAGCATCTAAATTCTGACATAATGCAGGGATAATTCCTTCGTATTTGTTTGGATATTTTCGGAAAATATCCTATGTATTACAAAGGTCACTAACATGAATAATATTCGTGAAAAATAAAAGAGGTATTCAACTAAAAGCAAACCTTGATAACAATGATAGCCTCCTGAACTACATAATTCACTTTGGTATTAATTAAATCCAATAAAACATTAACACATCTTTCAGACGCTTCATCAATCTTTATCGCGCATTGTCCAATTGCGCGAACAGATTTCCTAACAAAGTCCACATCAACTTCAGATGCATATCTAAAATCAATTTTAATACTTAATTATTTCGGGTGATCATGTAAAATGTACCGCTAATTACAACTTACTCTTTTAGTTCTGATAAAAGTTGGTCCACATTCTTGTCATTAGCTAATTTGATCATAATTTCAAGCTTTTCTAATTTCACATACGGTGGATCATTATATTTACAAAAGAAAACTCTCATTTCGTTTTGCAAAATATCAGAACGTTTTTGTAAAATAAGATTGATATTTCGTAGTGCAACGTATTGGACTTCTGGTGCAGAAGCTAATAAAGTAACTAAAACATGACACTTGTTAATTTTCCTTTTTTTTTAATAAGACAAAAAAACGATAATAATAATTTATACTATTATATATACCTAGAGGTGGTGCCATTTTCCTAACAAGTTGACGTATCATTTCATCATTTTTGATGATCCTCATGTAAATCATTATCACCTGTTCGAAAATATAATTCTGCCCGTTAACCTCTTAATCTTATTATTTATAGGGAATTTATCGAAGAAATATGAAAAGCTCACTATTTATCACCTTAATTGCGGATAATACTACGCTGCCATTAACATGTTGAAATTGTGGAATTACACGTTCAACAATATGTTCAGCCTCTTTTGAGTCTGCAGGTCGATAATCCCCTAATGCTGTCAGAATTGCTATACGACCCCATCTGCACACATAATGTATTTTAGGAAAAAAGATTACTATCCATATGAAACCAATTTTTTCCCAATAATAATAATAATATCATGCCTTACTCTGTGCATTCATTTAATGCTACCAAAAGTTTTGAAAGTGTTGATGGATTAATTATAAAAATGTCTTTTGTCGTAGATGTTTCGTTTATTTCTGCAAGTGCTGTTACAGCATTTGCTACCACCTTTAAAAATAGAAATAAATAATGAGTAAACATATTATTTAATAATCACAATATATGAGAACTATAAGTATATATACCATAGGATTCGCGTCTGAAACCAAATCCTGCAACACAGCAACAAATCCATTTTCAATGGCTAGTTCTGGGTTTAATTCATACAACTTTGCTACACATATTGCAGCAGTTTTTCGAACATAAGGGTTATCATCCTACAAAAGATTAGATTATATCTTTTAAAAAAAATGAAAAATTAATTAATGAATAAATGAACAATAATAATTTATATTACTTTTAAACTTTTCCTTAAAGGTTCACATAGATAATCAATTATCTTCTCTACACGAATACATCCCATTGTACGAATAGCCAACGCCCTTATCAATGGATTGGTATCATCAGTATCCTGTTATAATGAATAAATTATAATTAAAAAAAAGTCAAATGGTATATACAAATTTCATTATAAATGCTCTCACCTTTACAAAAGTATTGACCGCTAAAATTACCAATTCGGGTTGAGTTTTGGCGTAATTCATTAAATACAAATATACCAATTTCTTTTGCTCTAAATCCTCAGTTTGCATATTTTTCAGAACATCCGGAAATAATCCCGAAACATCCTTTCCAACTGTCATATTTGCAATGACTTTTTTAATTGCATCTTTTCGACGATCACGATATTCACTATTAAGGTCAGCACGAAGTTCATAATTTTCGCCTAGAAAAAGAAAAAAAAAAACGAAAAATTAGATAAGATATTAAGCCGACGAAATATTGTGATAAACTTATAATATTAAAATGTCTTTTTGCCATAAAGCCACCTGCTCTTGTGAAGTACATTAATTAAGGAACTCAAGAAGTTCAAAAGAAATGTCGAAAAACAATTTAATTATAAATTTATTTTGGATCAAAACCTGATTTCAAAGAATTATCATCGTGCAATAAACGTTTTTTTATTATTATTACTAGATAAAGGCTCACCTTTCTTTGTTGTTGCAAAGAATTTTGGTTTAGTAACTCGAAAATCTGACATTATATTTTTGAAAATGGAAAAAAAGACCGTGTTCGATTTTTGAGCCAGATGATTGACAATATATTGCCGTTTTGGACTGACAGTCACCTGACTAGTTTTCCTTTAAAAAAAGTATTTTCTCAAATTTAATAAATTCAATGATCAATTAAAAATGGGTAAAAAACCATTCATCGATCGTAAGAATGCTAGGCATTTTCATTTAGTCCATAGATCACAAAAAGATCCTTTAATAAGCGATCATGAAGCTTCTTCAAGAGTATTAGTTGAAGTTGTTCCAACTAACTTGAGGGTAATCAGTATTCAAATAAATTTTTTTCGAATATTTTAATGACTTATATTTTTATATATAAATATAAATTTATGATATTCATGATTATATATCTATTTTTTCTTAAATTTAAGGTTAAAGAAGTTAACCCTTATTTTTTTATCGAATTAAATAAAAAATAAAAAATAATTAAATATATAATAAATTATTTTTTTTGAAATAAAATTTAGGGAAAAATCAAACAAATTGAAAATAATGATATTGATGATATTGATGATCAACAAATAAAAGATGAAACTGAAAGGTTTGTCTTCACTTTTTTTTTTATTTCTTCTTTATATAATTAAATAATAATTTCTTTTTTTTTGTCCGATTTTGATGAAATAAAAGTCGTGTTGGAAAGGCAGCATTATACGGAATTCATTTTGATGATACAGAATATGATTATCTTCAACATTTAAAACCAATTGGTGAAAGTGAAGGTGGGGCAGTATTTATTGAAGCTCCAAAAAGAGAAAAGAGAGAAAAGAAGAAAGGTGGAAATATTGAATTAAAAAAGGGTGATGATGAAATGGATGTTAATAAAGTAAGATCAAAATTTATTTGATTTTTTAACAGGATTGAAATTGTTAAGATTATGATGATACTAAGAGAAATTGATATTTTTCATTCAAATATATGAAAGGTTTATTTTTTTTAACCAATTGTTCCTACTGAGTCATACGAATATCTATTAGTAAATTTTAAATAAATAATTTTTTATTATAAATTCTAATATATATTTATTTGGGATATAAAAGGATGCATCGTCAACTACAAAGAAAGACCGAAAAGTTAGGATATTACTTCCAGAAGAAGCATTGCCATCAAAGGAAGAATTGCCCGTGGGACTATTAAATCAATCAGCAATCCCTGAAGGTATGATATAATTAATTTGCGCATCTATTTTTTTTAAACCAAATTATCCTAAATATACATTGATTTTACAGATATACAGGGATTTCTGCCTGATATGGATCCAAGACTTCGGGAAACATTGGAAGCGCTTGAAGATGATGCATATGTGGAGAATGATTTGGATGATGAATTCTTTGAAACTTTAAATGCCGAAAGTGACGAATTCTATGAACAACGTGAAGAGGATTTTGAACCTGAAGAAGTTGGAAATTGGGAATCGGAGTTTAAAAAATTTAAAAATCGAATAAAGAAGAGCGAAGGTGGTGAAGATGATTATAATGAGGATGATAAGAGATCAAGAACTACTGGTGGTTATTCAATGACGAGTTCTATTATGTTTCGAAATGATAAACTTCGATTATTAGATGAACGATTCGAAAAGGTAAAAGAACATTTAATCTTTCTTTCTTTATTAAGATCTAATGCTTTTTATTATGATATAGATTGAAAAGGAATATATGGAAGAAGATATAGAATCTGATGACGATTCAACGTCTTCCTCACAAATACGTCAAGATTTCTCGCAGATTCTTGATGAATTTCTTGATAAGTATGAAATTAATGGTTGTAAAATTGTACAAAAATTGGAAGGTGAGAATGCACAAGATCAATTAGAAACCGTAAGAAGAAGTTTAGGAAATATTAATTTAAATGATAGAGTCGGTCAAGATAAAATAATAAAAGAAATAAATGGTTCGGGTAGTGATAAAAGTGAAAATAAAAGATCTAAAGATCAAAAGAAAAGTAAAGATATTGTAGTACAAGTTGAAAGCAAAAAAAAAGAAGCCTGGGATTGTCAATCTATTTTGAGTAAGCAAAAAGTGATAGATTTTTTTTCTTCTTTAATTTAAAATTGAAATTCTTTTAAATTATTTGAATTTTATTTGTCTTTAGGTACATATTCGAATTTCGAAAATCATCCTATTCTAATTAGAGAAAAACCTCGTCAAAAGATCAAAATCAATCAAAAGACCGGTTTACCTGTAGTGGAGTCGTCCATTGAAAATATAGAAAAGGATCAACATGATAATGATGACGAGGGAATAAAGATCAAGAAAGACGAAGATCAAATAGGAGGTTAGCAGATAATCTATTTTGAAAATCTTTGTACCAAATACGTTCAATTTATAACAAGTTATCTTCTTAACGTTAAAGTGAATCTCGGTGTAGCTAGATCAAAAAATGAATCTAAAGAAGAAAAGAAATTACGTAAACATAATAATAAGGATGAAAAGAAGGTATATTGCAAAGACATTTTTTTAAATTCTTTAAACTAGTTCATATCACGAAAAATAATTTTTTTTTTAAAAAAAAAAAAGAATCGTCGAGTTGAAAAGAAGTCGCTTAAAAGAGCTTTTGCTAAAGAACGCACGAAACAAAACAAAATTTCACATAATTTATCAAAAAATCATCCTGGTGCTATTCATTTGGATTAATCGCATTCAATTTATGAAATCAATTTTAAATTTTATTAATTTAAATAGTTAATCTCAGCATAATCTTGATATAATAAGAATAAATTATAATTGTCGAAATAATTATTTGTTTGCAAGTTCTTGTCCAATCTTGTAATTCAAAATCTGAAAATAAATAACCGATTAATTGACTAACTAAGATATCATAAAGAAGTGTCAAATATCAATCTAACCTTGTCCCAGTCTAGTTTTTTACGCGTCAGTGGAAGGGCACGTCTCAAACTTTTGAAGGTATTCTCGGATAATTCAATATATGATTCATTCAAAGCTGTTTGACATTCATTCTCCGCTTTTCCAATTAGTCTAACGTATGCTGCAGCGGCGGCAGATGGATTCTATAAACCCTTACATTCATTATTTAATTATTAAATAAATAAATGAATTACATGTACCAATTATTTTAAATTGATTACCTCGACAGTTGTTGAAGTTGATACTTCGACTTCTTTGTCTGAATTCAATTGAACATTTCCGTCTTCATAATAATGTACGTTCACCTTCAAACTTCCCTTTAATTCACCAGATTCCGGTTTTACAACCCATGTTGAGCGCCATCGTCCATTCCTACCAATTATATATTAATTTACATGACTTTTTCGAAAAGAAAAAAAAAGTGATGATTTCAAGAAATAAAAACTTACCAAAAATTCGATGAATTATATTTGTTATCCACGATAACAATTGTTATCGTATCATCTTCGGTAGAATAAACAGTTGATACTCCATCCGGATAATGGTCTTTAACGTAAACTTCAATCGCAGCTTCTACTGCACTTCTAAGTGGTTCTGTATTTTCATCCGGAGGATATGGTTCGGCAACTGTTGCAATCTTTATAAATTCGACATCACTTGTTGTTTAATATATTTTATATACCCACTAAATATTTATAGAATTAGTATAACTGAACTTTACTTGACGAATATGATCAAACGAGAAAGCTTGGTGAGATTTCGGATCGATATATGAATCATCCTTATCTTTGATTTGGCCAAATTTGGATACTATAACCTGAAATTACAACAAATCAGTTGATTCTAATATAAACTTATTTTAACAAAGTAATTTATAAGTTGATGACATTACTTCACTTTCGCTTAAAGGAAGTTTAGCAATGGTAAATTGCTCGGTATTGTATTCCCGTAAAGCACCCAAGATTCCATCTTGAAATGCGGCATCATCAGCCATTAAAACTTGAACATCTAAAAAATCATTATTAATGTATCATTATAAATGATTTGGTTAAAATACCAACAACAAAAAAAGCATTTAAGAAAAAGAAAACCGGAAGTTTGCTATTTCGTTTCGCTTATTTAAACTAATAGGAACCTACCATTGAAAACGTCATTAAATTCTCCGGGTGGACTATCAAGCAAGAATTTAGAGACTATTTTAAGTTTGTCTTCAGTGCTAAGAGCTTCCATGTTGGAGATAGTTAAAAGTTGAAGTGGAATAATTCAATTTAGAATGTGACAAGATCTTTTTATTATCACTATAATTGAGATATCACGTAAAGTTCTTTCAAATGTCTATATTCGCCTGCGCCACACTGCACCTAGAAGAGATATAATATCATAATTTCACGACAGATTAGTAAGTAATAGAAATTTAAAAAATTTTGATTGAATAGACAAAATAATTGCGTAAAAGCTAAGTGAATTTCCTTATGGATAATATAATAAGTATGATGGTATAGAATCTTCTGAAATATTGAATTCTAGTTAACTTTGAAATAGCAAATATTTTTGTTAAAGAAAAAGAAAAGAGTATACTAGTAAGATGTTATTAATACATTTTAATTTCAATATATAATAAAGGTTTTTTTTTATTTTATAAAAATTTTAGTAATTTAAAAAGGAAATCTATTAGTATGTATCTTGTTAACATTTCTTTCATCTATATAGAAATAGAAGAATCCTTTATTTCAAATAATTTAACCTTTTTGATAATTAATAATATATTATTATTTTTATTATTAATATATGGGATCTTGTCAATAGAAAAGGAGGAAATCTAAAAAAAATTAAAATTTCACTTCATATGCTAAATATGATTTTTTTAGTAAAATAAGTCCAGATTTAACATTAACTCAAAAACTTTTTTTTTTTAGATTTCCTCCCTTTCTATTGACAAGCTCCCATATATTGACTTGATTATTTTATAAAATTTATATTTTTTTGCATATTATAATAATTAATCAATTGATTAGACAGATAAACAAGTAGCTTAAAGTTTAAAAACTCATATAACCTTCTTTTTCAAAACAATCCTTCAAATTTTTTTTTATAAAATCTTATTTTTAGCTTTTATTTACTACTCTTTTCTAATATGCTACTATGAATAACTTCTAAATAAATATATAAATTTTTAAAATCATAAATATATTTATTTTATTTTATTTTTTTAACTTAACAGTAGATTTTTCAATAGAATATTAATTAACAAGTTGATTATTTTACAAATTTAATAAATAAATAATTACAAATCATATATAAGATAAATGTTATTAATATTTTAATATTATTTCATATAGAAAAAATAAATAAGAAAATAAAAATATAAATATTGATTAGGTTTGTAAATAATAAAGTTTAATTTGAACTTTCTTTCAATTTATCATAATAAATTATTTTATTATTTTAAAAAAAAAATTCTTAATTAAACTAATATTTATTTTATTTTTACTAAAAATAATTCTTATAATTATTTTTAAATTTATTTAAGTTACTTACAACTTAATTGTAACATTAATAAATTTAATTATAATATAAGTTGTAATATAATTGCAACATTTTTTGGTAATTATAATATCATCTTTACTATTATCCTTTACTTTTTTAATTATTTAATTAAGAAAATAAAAAATAATTAGCAATTTACTAAAAAATTAAAAAGTAAAAAAGTAGAACTAATTTATTATCTTATAAGAAAGATGTTTTACATAAATCCAAAAAGTATCTAAACTTTTTAATGAGAATAATCACATCAATAATAATTTTTAGAGATATTTTAATAGAATCATAAAATCTTAAGCTTAATATATAACTAATCTGAAGTAAAATAAATAATTATTATAGTCTAAATAATTTAAAATAAATATCAGTCAGTCAGTCTGCTTAAAATTTGAGTTAATATCTATATTTATCGATAAAATCTATAATTATTATTTTGAATTATTAAACCTATTTTTGATTAATTAATAATTTTATTTTAAAATTAGTGATTTATATATATAAAAAATCCTTTGAAATATTTCTTATGAAAAATATTTTATTAGGTTGTTAATGATTGAAATTTTATAACCTAGTATTCAAATATCAGTATTAGCAATTAAACTAATTAAACTTAATAAAATTGCTATATATTTTAAATTGTACATATAGAATCTTTACAATAAAAAAGAAAGAAACTGCTAAAAAAAATAAGTTTTTAGTTTATTTATTTATAATATATTTTTTAAAAAATATGTTTTTTGTTATTTTTGTGATATCTTTTATTTAAAAAAATTATATTTTTATTTTTGTAATACCTTTATTTCAAAATAATATATTTTTGTTTTTTAAGATATTTTTTTATTATTTTAAAAAATATAAAAGATAAAGCTTTCAATATTTTTTTTAATAATATTTTGACAATTTATATAATTTATTTTCTTTTTTTATATCTTTTAAAATATTTGAGTTTGAAAAATATCTTCTGTTATATTTTTTTTCTTGTTTTTTTTTCACTTTATATATGTTGTTATTCAACTATTAATTAGGCAAACTGAAACACATAATCAATTAAGCAGCAGACAGCTTTAACTAAATCTTTATGATGATTTAAAAGAGACTTTAATTATCTTATACAAATTAAATGCTGATTAATTTGATACCTTTCTAATTAATTACTATTTTTTTATCAGTAATCAATAAATAGAAATCAGTAGATACTACAGTTAGGTATAAATCAATTATTACTGATTTATAATTATTAGGTAAAATTACATAAATCAGATTTCAATTTAACTTTATACTTATTTTAATAAATTTAAAACTATATATTCAATAATAACAAATTGGGTTCAATTAATAATTAGTTATCAATCAGTTTAATACTTGATATATAATTATTATTTAATTAGAATTTACTAATTGGGAATAATTTACTAATAAGTCTTGTTAACAAGATTTGTTAATAATCTGTAATGAAATTCATTAATAGTTTATTATGACAATTTGTTATAGATTTTGTTAAACGAATTCTATTAAACAATTTATTAACAAATTTAATTTAATAATTTATTATAAATTTTATTAAACTAATTCTGTTTAATGATTCATTAACAAATCTATATAATAATTCATTTAAAAAATTCATTTCAATTTTTGTTAAACAAATTCTGTTAAATAATTAATTACAGGTTTTGCTAAATAAATTCTATTACAGCTAATTTCATAATTTGAGGATCACTAATAAATTGCGACTGAATGTGACTGAAAATAATAAAATTACTATAAAATATTGTGACTGAATGTGACTAAAAAATTATTAATGATTCATAAATTATGAAATTAGCTGTAAATAATTTATTTTAGTTTTCATTAAATGAATTCTGTTAAATGATTCATTACAATTTTTATTAAACAAATTTTATTAAATGAATTTATATAACTAAAGTTAGAAATTTTGTATGTACTATAATGGTTGTTACTTATAAATCATACTAGTCTAAAATTTTAAATGTTGATTTTTATGTGATTTTACATGATTTTAATATTTATTCACATTTTTTTACATTAAACATTTTATTATTTTTTTTATTTAATTCTATTAGTACATATTCAGGAATACAACAGTAAAATTTATACTTTTAGCAACATATTCTACCAATTTACAAGTTATTCATTTCTTTATAAATCCATATAACAAACACTATACCTTTCTAACAAATTTTCTTATTGTAATTGTATAATACATTGTA